TAAGATAAGAGAAATTAGGCCACAGGCCTAGATCAGATGATGATAAAACTGTGGAATTGTGGAACTTGTATGACTGGGACAGGGCAAAAGGTCATAAGAATTTTTTTTTTCTTTATGTGTATTTCTAGTGTAAACAAGGGCAAAATTACAACAGCTAGAAAGTGGGCAAAAGAAATGGATGAAAATCAGAATAAGGCAGCTGAGAGAGCGGGAGAGAAAATGGAAGTGAAAAGCAGAAGCTGAACTAGTGAAAGCCTACTGTTAGAAGACATGAACTTTAAGGCTGGATATACTGATGTTACTTCCTCGTGTTTCTATTTTTAAATTCCACCAAAGTACTTTACACAGGTGTGTGGTTAAGTGTTTCACTGTGACACATTGAAGGGATATCTAATAAATACCAATTTTGATTGCACGCCACCTGTAACTTCTGTCTTAGCATTCTCACCTTTTTGTAGGTTCTCTAGAGCTCTGTTGACTCATGCACCATTAAAAACATTACCAAAACTTCACTTTCACTGACATGAGGTACAGAGAGCCCTTTGTGACTTTCAGACGATAGGTAATGCTTTTAGGCTTTGATATTAGGAAAAAAATTAAAATTAAAAAAACCCAACTTGACAGATACGATCTAGAAGTTGCTGAAATCCAGCATGCAGAGACTAGAGAACCAATGAGACTGTTTTGTAGAGTCATTTTTGGGGTACAGGCACATGAACAGCATTGCATCTAGCTAAAGGAGGTAAGTCATTGCTTTCCTGCTCACTCCATCAAGCAGTACAGTGTGCTACTCCTTTAACCTAAGAGTGGGAATACATCTTTGAGGCTAGTATACAGCTTTGAAGTATAAGAAAATTCAACTCGTCATGGTATAAGATTTTTTTAAATATGAAAAAAATTACAAAATCTGCCAACATCTACCGCAACAACAAAAAAAGCCACACCACAGAACAACCCTGGGTAAATAACTGCTCTGAATAATGCTGGAGTGAAGTTCTATTGAGAGCACATCTGGACCGTCTACCCCCTAATGTGGATCTCCATTCCTTTTCAGAGGTGGCTGAGAGATGAATTAGGTTTGCTGTGTTTCTGCTTGGCGTCTGCATCTTGGGCAACTGAGGTGCTTTCCACAGGGATGGTCACCCACTGAGGAGCACAAGCAGTATTACACCTTCTGCTGCAGGGGAGGGAGCTTCTGGGAAGGGAGTGGAGAGATCGCCCACCTGAATACTGAGAATCTCCTTCCTGCTTCAGAGAAGGAACTTTGAATTGCCTGACTCTTTACAAAAGCAAGCCAAACATGTACACAGTTTCTAAATCTATCCAGGCTATAGCTATCTGAGAACATAATCTGGTAAGGACACAAAAAATAAGCATGACTTCTGCCCACTGCATTTATCTGATAGCTGGGCGTAGCTCAAAGTTCTCACTCCAGACAGTAAAAACAAATGGCAGTCAGAACTTCTAGCTGTCCTCTCTTCTGGCGGTAGCTGTCTTTCATTTTTATGAGGAAGAGAAACGAGTGTTTCTACTGGGCGCTAGCACTGTTTGCACATAGTAATTGCTGAGAAGAGAATTATCCAAGTCACTCGACATTCTTCCTTGTGTTAACTGTAGATGAGTGTTTGTGTTCTTTGTGTATTCTGGTATTGTTAAAAAGTTAATCTGATGCCAGCTATAGGTTTATTTACCAGCCCCTATTTACACAGGCAGAAATGTTTTGGAAAATATCTGTATGGTTTCTTTGTCAGCAGCATTATCAGAAATGACAGATGCCATACCTAAGTGCTGTCTGATCTGCAGAGGGCATAGAAACGAAGTTTCATTAACATTTTTCTTTGAAACATCTTGGGTTGTTAAAGAAAAGAACAAATGAACATTGAGGATGATGTTCTTACCTAAAGAGGGAGTTTCCTACCCTGAACATTGCTGTAACATACTCCTGATCATCACCACTGTGTAGGGAGGTCTAGTCACTGCATTAACTACACAGAGATCCTAATAAGATATTTTAATGCAAGTGTGTCGTGTTCTCGAGTTATGATGATTAGCATAGCTGCTAATCATGGTATGGCTCGCTGGCATAGACACGGATTGTACTGTGGCAGCTACCAGTTTACCCCACAGGGGAACCCCACTGGTGACTGGGTGGGCAGATCCTTAGGGCAAGGCTGTATGCTCTAATGGGTTCTGGTTCTCTGGGGCACTGTGTGTCACATTTCTTTCTCCTCCTTCTTTTAACAGTAATGTCAATAAAGCCCTTCCTACGCTGTCACGAGTGCAATCTGATCTAAAGAACAGGCTTATTTCTGAAAATGCTTTATTTTCCAAAGAGAAACAAAGGTAATCTCACTAGGGCTGAGTGCCCATCTTAAGACATGTTTTTGTGGGCCCAGCAGACTCTTCCACTCTGAAGAGCAGGAAGAATAGCGTGATTCTTCAACAACACGCACTGACAACACAAACATGCTTACACATATGGGATAAAGAGATCTAATGTAATTTAGGACAAAGAGTAACAAGAATGGATAAATGACAGCAATTATAAACTGTGAAACTCAGATTGCTAGTCAAACCAGCGATAAGAAACCCAAAAAAGGGGAGTCTGCAGGATTTTTTATATGAGAAATGAAATAATTAGAAAAGAAAAACCTCCCAGAATTATGTATGTGTTTGAGGCAGAAGGGCATGCAAGGCCAAGGGCACCCAGCAGAAGTGGCTCTGAAGCAGGGAAGGACTTTGCTCTACCTTTTTTCCTCCTGTTTCTTCAGAGAAATCTGAGTTGCGAACCCCAGGCAATTTCTACACTACTGGCAATTTTCAGTCTGACATGCCAAAGTACAGGGCGTATTTTTGGATTTTTTTTTTATAGTGAATACAAGACTGTAAGTTGGGTCAAATAAAGATGACTTTTAGAAGGACCTTCAGAAACAGCCCAATATGCAAGATGGTTCAAAATGAAAGATTTAAGACAATTCAGCTTTTTGAAGGACTTGCTAGGGGCTTCAAACAAATGAGTGTTTGTAAAGCCTTTTGATTTCCTTAATATCTTGTTTTAAAAAGGCAAGAAGGTGGATATAATAGTAGTATGTCTGATAATACTATAGTTTATAGTTAGATAGTTTATATTGATAAACTATCAGCAGTTTCCTTCCCTAGGTAACACTCAGAAGACAATCAAAACTTAAGCTAAAGGTGACTGCCCTTTACAGCATCTTGCTGAATAAGCCATGTCTCCCACCTTGATTTACCCACAAATTTCAAGGAACTGCCTAAAAGATTTATTCTAAACAAGATAAATAGACATATTCCCCCTCTGACAAATACTTAAATTCAACTGAAGTGTATCTAGTAGTAACAACCTAGTAACGACCACAGGGTTGTCTTCTCAGCTGTATGCCTGGCCAAGTGTGCATGCTTATACGATCCTCATTGGATCAGGACAGATCTGACCTTTGACTGTTACTTACTTGGGCAGTTAATCCCAAAGTGGATTTTGGCTAACAGGTGTTTCAGAGGATGACACTTTGATCTTTAAATATTCATTATTTTATTCTACTGTGTAGATGGTCCACAGAGCATGTTCTAGAACCAAAGCGGCAATACCATGTCTGTATTGAGTTTCACATGGATCTTGTCTTCCACAGGGTTAACAGTCTGGAGGCTCTCATAAAGCAATTTATCAGCCAGCTGGCCTTTCAAATAGGCAGCTGTCTAAATTCAGAGTTAAAACTTTGTGTGAGATGCCAAGTTTAGTGGCAATTTGTGATGAACAGATAAGGAGAAAGAGTATACAGTTACACCTCATTTCAGGTTGAAGACTGCCATGATACAAGTGGCAGAAAGTGCCACGATCACACTTCTGGTTTCAGTCAAACTGTGGCTGAAACCATAATAGACTTTGACCCCAATACTACAGGCACACATAGTTTAAAGGAAAAGGAAGGAGATACACTGCATACAAAGGGAGAAGCTTGCTCCCTGCAAAACTGTGCCCTGGGTATGGTATCACCTCCTCCTTTTGCACCAGAGGTTCTGGTCTGTGTATATAACTACCATTAATATCTGCACACAGCACGTCTTACAGGATTAGCACTCCAGCCTTTTACAGCTGTGACTCTTTTGTGTTCAGTCTTGGGATCATTTCTAATGAGATCCTCTTCTGTTGAAAAAAATTACGTGTTTTTATTGTGAATCATTCTGGGTGGAAACAAAGCCATAAACATAATTTCATCATTTTCTTTGCAGAATCTTTTTCTGTGGATTCCTTGTGGAATTTTTCTTATAGAAAATTAATGAACTTTGTTTTAACTGAAGTTAAATGAAGCAGGCCTTTAAATGTTTTCCTGCATTGCTCAGACTATGTATGGCCGAGCAGCCACAATGGCAAGATTTCCTAAATTTTCACTTCAAATTCTGTCAGTTAATTTTGTCCCATCCTCTGTTCCTTCTTCCAAAAAGGTTATGCTTCAAGTGAAAATTTTAAGCTTAGGCAAATATGTTTAATTGCAGATCTTAGCGGTGCAGATGAACTGAGTTGCGGGAAATACAGAGTTTGGGAGGAGTTTAAGGGTAGCCTGTTTGCCCCAAAAGAGGAAGTGTACCAAAGCATGTAGATACGTCAGGAAGTACAGATTCTGAAAATAGACAAAGGGTCATGCATACCCCCCAAAATTGCTTTCACCTTATCAGCACAGACCTTGGTAATTGCTTGCTCATGCAAGTAGAATTTGCAGGGTTTTTTAGGTTCAGCAAACCGCCATCTGTTTATACCCAACTTTGTAGTTAACAAAAAATAGTTTTCTGAGCATGTCGAAAGGAGGGTGTTGAAAGGGGCACAGTTCTTGTGTGTGTGTGCCTGTGAGAAGGAAGGTAACTCAAGAATTGTAGCAGTGTTAATTGCAGTCCTTCCTCTTTTCTTTAAGCCAGCTCCATAACACCGCAGAAGCTGTCAGTTAAGAGCTGAGCAAATGATGAATTAACCCCTTGTGTCTTCCCAGGTGGTATCATGATAATCTTACCCGACATGCAGCAGAAGCGCTGCTGCTTTCCAATGGGCAGGATGGAAGCTATCTCTTGAGGAAGAGTAATGAAAGGGAAGATTTGTACTCCCTCTCTGTAAGGTAGGGTATGGACAGAAGTGAATTTATATAATGCCGCACCGCTAGCAGCTTTTAAATTTTCACTTACTCCCATGTTTATTTGTATGTCTTGTGCATTGAGATGACCTACTGATTTTTTCCTAGGGCTCAAACTATTTTAATATATATTCCTAATGGTATAATCCTGCTGAAAAAAAAAATTTGATTGGATTTGAAAATTGCTCTCATTTTTCCAAACTATGAATTAATCTTATTGGCGAAAAGCATCATTCCATGGATTGGCTGTAGATTTTCAGTTTGCATGATAAAAGAAATCCGTATGGCAGTTGTGAGAGTTAAAGAAACTGCTGATGGGAGTAGAACAGTTTTGTGATGAGGATAGTAGTAAATATACCAGCTAATAGGTGCTAACTTCACCAGTTTCTGGATCACTGTATAGGAACTGTCATCTGAGGGACAATCCAGCATTTGACTGGGGATGGTTTTACTCCTCCGTTCTGAGCTAAGACTCAGTCCTAGCCAGTAATGGATGACTGATTTGAACAATATTTTGCAAGTGACAGACATCAGGCCCCTTGAAGTCAGTTACAGCAATTTACATCAGTTCAGGACGCAGCCAATACAGAACACAGGTCACCTGGCCTAGGTACTTCACTACTGAATCACATTTAAAGAACCTCACAAGAAGGAGAGAAGCCACAATATTTTAGAGAGGAAACATGAAAGACATATGCAGTTAGACACACAAGGTAATCCCTGCATATCAGCTGAGTGGAGGTAACCAACTCTAAAAACGGTCTTAGCCTTTGGCAACTGTATGATGTATTAAGCCTCTACAGCGAAATTTTAATAGTGCATTCAAGATTATTTCTGCCTCGAACTGAGCCTCTGAACAGTTAGTGACCACAGCTCAGCTGAATCGCAATAACTTTCTAAGCTAAAGTCACTTTGGTCAGTAAAATGGTGCAAGTTATTCACAACCCTAATAGATAAAGAACACAGCATATGCCCTTGAAATGGTGACTTTCTACATATTCAATACCAGGAGCTGTTAAAATTTGGAAGTGTAGTCACTTGGGAACTGAGGAAAATGCAATTTGCACGTATCCTGTTGCCCAGAGGTATAAAAGGCAAATACGAATTGCTTCATTCATCTCTCACAGAAGACCCAGGAGCAAGTGTGCCTATACATACACTGCTGAAATTATTACCACTATAGACAGCCATTTATACAAGGAGCTTGGGGGCACGCCTGACAGATCTGAAAGTGATGTTAGAAAATGAGTATTCAGAGTAGCAATGACCGAAGTGAGTGGGAAAACTTGGGAAAAATAATAGTAGCATTTATAAGGAATAGCTTACCTTAAAAAAAGTAATTTTAAAATGAATCATTGTCTTGCTGGTTTATATTTTTGACTTTAAAAATGTAACTAAACATTACAAGTAAACATATTATTAATCTACCTCAGACAATCTTTTTTAAAGGGTTTTTTTTTTTTTTAAATAAAGGGTCCTGAAGGGTACTTGGGAAACAACTTACTGTAATAATATTTAAATAGTTGTTCTTTTAATGGGGAAAAAAAGCTAAAATGTGAGTTAATGAAAATAAATTTGCTGCTTTAACAAATTCTAGCCTTAGGAGACCTAGAAAAGTCTACTTCAGACCAATTCCAATCTTTTGTCTCCATGTAGAAACTATATGAACTGAATATCCCAGCCTGAAATTTGATCTTTTCTTCTGTTGCATTATTTTTTTGGTGGTACAGCTCCCTTGAAATACTGATTTTGATTTTAAAATGTTTTAATAATTTTCAACTGTTTTAAGTTTTACTTTCCATTTTTTGACTACTATTGAAACTTAATTTTAGAATAAGTAATTCAATTTTGTTCTGATACAAAGTTATACAAGTTATCCTTGTAGAAAGGATAACTCTAGCAATTCTAGCTGCCGTTTTCTTTGTCTCCTAAAATGTCTTCTATAGCTTTTACTGTACTTTCTGCCTCTGCCCCACAAGGAACTTTGGTCATTATTATAGTTTGTTTTAAAAGGAAACAATGCTTAGATATCACTTGAGTTTTTTATTGACACCTGTAAGAGGAGAGATCACATATTGCCTGAAAACCCATCTCCCAGATAAATTAGTTAACTTTAAAAAAGAAATGGAGTAGAAGTTGCTCTCATTGCAACATTGTATTTCTTGTGAAATTAGATGAAAAGGTGAAAACCCTGCCACTGCAGCAGAGTCATAGCAGTTATTTGCTGTTGTAGGGCATCTGCCCTTGGCTTGCACGCCTTGTGTCTTGGCTGACTGCAGCACAAAACATGCAGGAGGTCAATAGAGGCATGTTCTACAATAACACAAGTACTGTTCAAAAATAAATATTTGTTTAAATACCTATTTGAAATTACAATCTCCTGTGGAAGTGACAATAAAAAAATGGAAAACACATTGTAAATCCCTTCACCATATTTTCAGTATTTTTGCTACGTACTTTTTTACTGAGGCAAAGTTTTCTCTGGACTATTTCGGATGCTAATAACTTTAACAGAAGTAACTTTTTCACAGAAAAGATACTTGCAATAAAGTGTTTCACTGTCTTGTGAAGTCAAAATAATTGTCTTGCACACTTCTCTAAATACCGTCAGCTTTCATAAACAAATGCTATTACTTGCCTGACAGACAAAGGACCCTGGTTCATGTTTGACAGTGCCTACCATGGAGGAACTATTCATCGGAGTACAGAGACAAAGGAGACAAATTCTAAAGCCTTAGGTATCTAAAGTTAGGTTATTAAATCCCTGTTTGGGTGCAAAAAGGAGGCAGCCTATTTTTGAAATAGAAACAGAAGTCATTTTCAATGAGATTGGGATGTTAACTGAAAAGTAAGACATATACTGAGTAATATAGGTACACCATCAAGACATCATCAAGCGAAGGGGTATCATCCTGCTTAGATAAAAGGCTGAAACTTTCTTTGTGAGTCTTTTTACTGATTGCTGCAAGAGTTAATTTGACTTATTTGGCCTTTCTAGTCTTTTATCATCTCTAGAGTTTTCTTAATAAATCCGAGTCTCAGATGTGTTGAGTATTAGTGAGGGACAGTAATGGCAGTGGTATTACTGCTAGGACAGTGATTGTCAGCCTGTGATCTCGGGCAGATTTCCTATAGCGGAACCTGCTGTTTCAGGGTTGTACATGCCAAATGCCTTTGGCATTTATGTCTTGACAAATTTTCCTTCTTTATTTTAGGGGAAAAGATTCTGTGAAACACTTCCACGTTGAACATACAGGAACTTCATTCAAATTTGGATTTAATGAATTTTCTTGCTTGAAGGAATTAGTCATGCATTTTGCAAATCAGCCTTTAATTGGAAGCGAAACAGGTAAGGAGAGCCATATGTTTGTATGAACATGTTTGTAGTCATGTTGCACGGTGATCTAAGTAAAAGGAGCTTCCGATGTGTTATCAAATGGATCTACTGCTGAAGTGTTCCTCTTCAGAAATTCACATCCGTATTAATCTCAGGTATCTAAGATGTTCCTCTTCAGAGTACTTGAAAGAGTTTTTGAAGGCAAACTACACGTAAGCTTACTGGATTTTTCCCAACCAGGGACATGATCTCCTTTTGATTTCTCAGAGAAGGAAGGAAGCATTTCAAAATACACATGTACTGAGACGAACAGAACCTTCTCAAAAAGGACAAATCCAAAGCAGGGTGTTTAGTGAGGAAATAAATGTTCATATATGAAGTTGAAGTACCCCAGTAAGAGTAAATGGAGAGGGACTTGAAGTTGTTTAGCACCACTATTCTTCATCCAAGGAAGAAGTCTATGGTGATATGTTCCTCTTTCCTGTAGGGAACATGGCCTGTATTACTTCTCCCTTTCTGTCTACAGTGGATCAACTTGCTGATGCCATCTGCCATCACAGTGATTTATCTTGGTTTTAGGAAAAAGAGAGAGAAAAAGCACAGGCTTCTTTAGCAGCCAACATACTGCCCACTTGATTCCTACAAGTGAGTTGAACACCACCAGACCAGAATTCCTGGAGAAACAGATGCATGTTATCATGATAATGCCAGTTTTAGGTTTAGCTTCAAATGTAAGAGTTGAAGATGTGTCAGTAGAAGTTAGTGCCAAAAAATTCAGTATCCTGTGTAGAAAGGGTATGCAAATAACTTGTAGAGTAGTACTAATTGTGTATGCAAGAGATCAGTTAAAGGATAGTTGGCACATGCAATAACTAATACACCACACACTAAATATGCACCAGTGCTCTTAACTCGAGAATTCAAGGGTTGTTTTTCAAATTTTTTTTCCCCAAGAAAAACGCAGTGGTACACTTAATATGGCACTTGTATCTTTCAAAGCATTCGCTTTTTAAATTGCTTTTAAGCGTGGTTCAAACACAGAGTTCCTGCATGTATCTTTTGTGCCGGTAATCTATTTTTCCTGTGAAGTCAGACACGCACTCACAGGCCTACCACTGTAAAGATTTCAGATGACATAAAACTTGTATTTCCCCATGTCTTCACTGCATGTGTTACAGACATCAGTAATCAAGGCATTGATGTTATGTGATCTCTCTGGACAGGATCAACACTGCTGAATGATGGGCTCACTTCTCGCCTTAAAGCTCCCTAATCAGATTCTGCTGGGTCTGTGAAACCTCTTTAAGTTGGACATGCTACAGAATAAGAAAAGCCATTTGAACATCACATCAAGAAACTTTCCACCTTACCTTACTATGGCTAGCAGTAGAGAGGGAGTTAGCACTCAGGCAAAGCTCCTTCAGATACAGGTGTCAGAGTTCTCCTGCATGGTAACTGATTTATACCAAAAAGCGGGCAGGGGCTCATCAGAGCCCGCTCTAAGCCACTGGTCAGTATGGAAGAATGACCGTCCCAACACAGGGTCACATAGCAGGTTGGCAGAAAGCCCAACAACAGAGTCCGATTTCTTAGGCCACACTTCCTTTCAGTGAAAAGCAGCAAGCGACCTTTAGCTTGGGCATTAGTAGAAAGCAGTTGGACCAGTTTTCCTTATTCCTTGTTATACTTACAAACAATTTTCTGTAGAAACACTGTGAGATCAGGAATGAAAGCGTAAAGCAAGATAGCATTTTTCATCTCCTTGCTTATGGACAGGATTTTATAAGACAGAGACCCACGAGGTACAATGTATAATGGTTTCCACTATCTTCCATTTAACTTTGTCTCACTGTAGCTGGCTTTGTCTCTGAAGAGGCACACCAGACTCTCTTTGATCAGTACTTGAACACACAGGCCTGCACCCCTGCAAATTGGTCCATGGAGCACCGTGGTTCTTTTGTAGTGGGACAGCTGTAGGTTTGTGCTTCAAGCCCTGAAAACCTGGTCTTACTACAGCTTCATTTACCACTCCAAATTGCTACATGGACTCACATCTATTTTTCTGCAGTGTAATCACAGAATCATGTGTACACTTCCTTCTGAACTACAGATAATTAAAAGGAAATTGGGACTGCTGTGTTCTGTGAGATGGTTTATCAAACAGGCAAGCTGAATCTATTCAGTAGCAAGGTTAAAACAATATACTGTCACATTCCTATATTTTTATCTTTATTCAAAGTGACAAGGTCAACATGTTATTCTTACCCGTTTGCTTTGTTTATCAGTTTTTACCTAAATTATTTTGAAAACCTATAAAAACTTTAAGTCATTACCCAGACAAAAAAGCCAAAGTTGCTTGAAGCTAACATTTCCAACAATGGGACTAATTTTCATTCTTCCTTAGAAATAGATATCATGTACAAACATGCAAGAAGAATCTTGTTATAGTGCAGCTTTTACTAGTTCTTTTGTACAGTTACCAGATAATTCTCTACAAGTGTCTTTTGTGGAGAAAAAAACATGGAGAACTGACTAGAAAATAAATATTGTACAAAATGTTAAACTAGTTCTTCCAGTTCTGCAACAGGGCTCTTTATCCATGGCATACAGACGATGGTACTGTGACTCTATGCAATAGGTTAAGAGTAGTTTCTGTAGATTGGTGATGGGCCTGTTCTCAATTTCATTTTACATTATAAAGCATTAATTTTGTGCAAGGCCAGAGAGAATTAAACTGATTTTGACTTTTCACTCACTGCAAGTTGAATATATCACATTTGCATATATACCTTATACCTGCAAATAGATTTCAGTTGACTATTTCAAATACAGTTTTTCCACTTCCCTTTTCCCTTCCCATTACAAAACATACTTTAAAATTTATTTAACTTTTAAATTACTTGATCACCTGTAGGTTTCAAGTCCAAGTTCTTACCAATCCTAGGATCCCTCCTCTTCAAGAGCTGACAATATCAGCGTCAAATGCAAATGGAGCAGCATTTGGTATGCTGCAACGTTATTTTTAAAAAATGAGAGTAGATGGTATAGCAATTACTATTTTAAGTAGGTTCTTCACTATCGTGAATAGTATCATAAATTCACTATTGAGAATGCCACTTTTTGCGGAGAACGTGCAAGAAATGTGAGCTTACTTGGAGAACAAAGAATGGCTATAACCAAAATGTTACTAACTGGGAGGAGCTATGGTAAAACCGTTAAAGGCGATGGTAATGTGGGCTTACTGTTAGGAAGTCTGTATCTGAAGTTCCGACAGATTAAGTGATTTATGCAGCAAGAATTGTTGGCAAAACCAGGATGACTGTTATGACCTCGTATCTAGTCTAGCATACTGCTTACCCGCCCAGCCAGACTCCTGCGCAGGAAGGGAATTAAATGTGTTCTGTGCAAGCACTAGTAACTTCAAAGGTTTTAAAAAGGTACCATATTTTTACAGTTTTCACAGTTGCATGTAAACAGGCCTGATAATGTCTGTAGTCATGAATACAATGGAAGCATAGGTCACGTGTAGGTCAGCATTTCAGCCGTGACTTGTGAAATCTGTATTTCATTTTGCTCTGTAACCTGTTACTCCCTGACTGGAAAGAAGGTTCAAGCAGGACAGGAGACACCTGCTTTTGAGGGTTATCTGATGGTCCTGTCTTGTTGCTCTCTTAGCACTTAGCATGCATTGCAGAAGGGGTTTAATTACCTACTGCTTAGAAGAAGCGAAGAGGGATTTCACTCTTGTTTTCAGAGATGTGAGAACAAATTTGACTCCCACGGTACAGGGATGAGTGAATGGATTTAGGCAAGGTCCAGGTGCCCAAGGTATTGAGACTTCTGAGCAACACAGACAAAGAAGTGAGACTGGGCAAGTGAATCCAGCAGCAAGTGCCCCGCTGTAGTTTGTGTGTGTATTTTTGTAGAAAATACCCTTCACAAAGTCTACACTATTCAGATGATGCATGTTAGAAATATTGGTCTAGTTTTGTCAGTAGGGAGAGTCATTTATAGCATCTGATTGTTTTCTCACGGTGTGGCCTGAGTCCTGCCCCCTTCCAAGGAAAACCCCTTACAGGGAGTGTTGCAGAGATCTTGGGGAGGTTATTAGCTCTTAAGCCTTTTTTATTTTAAGAAAAGGTAAAGTTAACCATTCAACAAACAGGCAGCTACTGCCAATTATTTTCTGAGACCGTCTTGCCAGATGACTTACTCCTGCTCTTTTTTTCCCCAGGAACCTTAATTGTGTTGAAGCATCCCTACCCACGGAAAGTAGAAGAACCTTCCATTTATGAGTCTGTCCGCGTTCACACGGCAATGCAGACGGGAAGGACCGAAAGTGATCTTGTTCCAAATGCTCCCTCAGTAAGTGTTGTGTTCTGGTGGGAGGGATGCTTCTCCTGGCCCGAGCTTAGAAGCAATTGCTGGAGCGAGCTGTGGAATAACACCAGTAATACATCCCTTCGTAAATACAGAAAGTCTTTGCCAACCAAGGCAAAACATGCACAGAGGTGCTAAGTACAGTCCCATGACAAATAAAGCCTTTTACAATTGTTGTTACTGAGACCGTCAATGGTGTCACTGGGGAAACGTTGTCTGCAGCTGACCTAGGTGAGCCTGACCATCCAAAGAATGCATGAAAAGTTTTCATTCTCCTGTTACCTTCCTTTTAGGATACCATCCTAGCAGTAACGTTATCAGGAATTTAAAAACAATAAAAAATAAAAACACCCAAACAAACATCCCTCCCCCCCGAACACGAACACAAAACAAACACGACACTTTTCACATCTTTCTGACAGCACTCGTCAGGCTTGTATGCAACAATACATATGCCAGGTTGCACAGTAAGCCCTTGTTTTGCCAAACATCCTTTACAGCCAGTGGGAAGTCTGTCTCTCTCCCCCAACAGGTGAGGAGAGGAATACACCAAATAGCAAAACCGAGTAACAGCTACAGGATTTACCATATTGTCTTACTCAGTGAATATGAGGATTGGATAACAGGATTAGGTTAGGTACTTCTAACAGGTAGTAGTCCTGACAGAAATAAACTCATTACTACTTAGTAGTTTTGCAGTCTTCTTTGTTTGTTAGAATTATTTTGCCTGGTTAGCAATACTACAGCCTCCTTCCTAACTGGAGGAAGGAAAGAGCATCTCTGACTTTCTAAGTTGGTTAAAAAGGGGCCTTTTGAAAAAAATATTTGAAGATGTACATGACAGGCAGGGACACATTTGGAAAAAGAAACCCCAAGCTGAAGTGCAGTTACAGCCAAGTTAATAGAAGTATCTACATCCTGATAGGTACATTATTCAAGAGATATTTTTTTTTACATTTTCACACTTGGATTTTATTATTTTAGAATCACCTTGTCTTAAAGCAGGAAGATGGCTTGCTGTATTCTGACACAGACTTAAACCCAAAATAGAGCGATATGAAAGAGCCTCCACTCTTTCAGCCCTAGTAATTTTGAGCACAGTAAAAAGCTGTGTCATGTTAAAAGCTATGCCTTACTGGTGTGAGAAACAAGAGAACATCTTTCATATCCATTTGGGCCACCTGCTCTGACATCTGTGACTCACTTGCACAGTAATTAGAGACTTTAAACCCCTAGTAACTTACAGCTAAGTGAGACAGGTGGTTTCTCCAGATCAGAGAGGAAAGTATTTTAATTACATACTATATTTTTTGAGAAAAAGGAAGAGTTACATTAATATGGGTTAATGAAGTTGATAAAAGAACCACTTCTGATGTGTCTCACAGCCAGCCCTTCATGGCTGAGTTCCAATTTAACCTCCAGAGAAACTTGACTTCCACATACAACCAACAGAAAGGCAATATTTTTTCAAGAGCAAGTAGTAATTAACTTGGGAAGAATTTGGTTTTCAGCAGTCTGCAGTCTCACACCACCACTAGGTTCCTACCCAGAGTTTCAGTATCTGAGGAGTCCTAAGGTCCCAGTGTCACTCACAGTGGCAAAGAAACAGTTCAAAAAACAGTTTTTCCATAAACACATTGAATGTAACAGGTTTTTCCTCTAAAGCATGTGGCTGTTTGAGAGAAGAGTATGCCTGAGTAAAACAGTACTTTCCCCCCTGCTTCCGTTTCAGGAGAGATTTCTGTGGATAATTCCACTGTCAGCTAAACCCCAGGTGGTGCTTCTGGTTACAACATGCACTGAGACAACCATCTAACTTCACTAAATAAACTGTTACGGCAAGTGTTTTGCTGCGTTTTGTTGAGAAGATGCAGGCCAGAAGCTTGCTGAGGGGGGTGCTGTCTAAGAGATTGCCTTTAGAGCGAGCTTAGGTCCATGTTTACCCTAGTGGTGGATCCAGCCGTGTGAAGGGAGCACAGGAGTGAGGACAGGGCAAGCAGCCCTAGGAAGTTTCCCCAAGAACAAGCTGTTCTTCCATCTTTCAGATGTAGGCAAAGAGAGGAATGTGAGAAATAGAAGCAGAGCTCGGTCTAACCCCGATCCCTTTCCTTGTTACTTCACAGCTTGGTACAAAAGAAGGCTATTTGATAAAACAAGGCAAAATAGTCAAGGTAAGGAAAACTCTTACTCCTTGCTTCCACTCTGCAACCACTCACAGAAGCTAGAGACAATGCAGAGCTGAAATAGCTCCACCTGCATTCCCCTGCAGAGAGGAACAATTTGTGTTTTGAGAAACAGCAAAGCACAACTGTAAATCAGAGCAAGTCAACAGCTTTAAACGTTTTTTCTTCGTAAGAAGCATTACACTAAATTCTCACAAGACAATTACCATCCATTCTTGATCTTTCAGAATTGGAAGACAAGGTGGTTTACACTGCATAGGAATGAACTTAAGTATTTCAAAGACCAGACAGTAAGTAGCAAACATCAGTTCTACTCTTTAAACCTCTACAGAGGCAGCTGCAGCCTCCTCTTATCTCTGGCTTCTAGCATCTGTATCGCAGCTTCCCAAGCTAAAGCTTCCCATACTGTCAGAGGGGTTGAACCTTTCAAATAAAGTCAGAGTTTTGCTGATGACTTCAGCAAGAGAAAGCTAGTAAGTAAGAGCTGGAAAATATTTACTGTGTTCTGTCAGTCTTACCTACTAGACAGAATTGTTGTTTATGGTGCATTTTTTGGTTGCTTTGTTCAGTGAATTTTAAGCTACCAGCACAACACAGCTTTTATTGGTAGCTTTGACACACAACCTAACAGATAGCAGTGCTATTAAAATATTTCTGCAAATACTAGTAGGATATTTTGTGTTCCTTGATTTCATCCTTTTATTTCAACTGGTCACACAGTACAGATAGATAGAAAACCATTCATTTAAAAAAGTCTTCCTTCTTAGCACTCTACCATAGATTAAGCTGCTGCATCTGGGAAAAACAGTGTCCTTACAGTTGCTGTTCCATTTCTATCTTAAACTGAGTAAAGATAAGAAATACCTCTAGATTTTCTCCACTCTTGGCAATACCTCCATTCAGGTTCCTTTATAAACACAGCCAAACTGTTTACCTCTGGATCTCTGCCAAGCCCGATTTCAAGTGTCTAACAGATTCTAACACAACAGCAGACACAACTGCCCTCTCTCATCAAATGTTACCATTTATAAACAGTTATGTATTTACGGGGCCTTCCATCAGTTTTCATTTCAGTTCAAGCCAACTTGAATTAAGTTTCCAGGATAACATTTCAAAGGGCAGCACTCCAAACATTTGAGTAGTATTTGTGACTTACCAGGCAAGAAGGTGTCTTTGTCTGGAATATCGCCTCTTCCTAGGCAGCAGCTCCAGCATTTCCTGGTGCTCCTGTGGGGTTGCAGATACCTACAGGCAAGCAACTTGCCTCAAGCCCTGGCATGGTGTTTGTTAGCACACCTCAGCACAAGTGGCTTTCTGCTAACATGGTATATAACTAGCAGCCACTGAGACAGAGGAAAACATACAGAAAAGTGAGAAAGCAACAGACAGCTCCGTACACCTGATGAAGGGTCATGGGAAGCAGCTAAAGGTGACTGGGCAGAGAGCAAGCCGTTCTACTACAGCTCCCTCTTCCGAGGTGCTCAACAGCGTGTGGCTGAAACAAATCAAAGAAGGACTCCAAAGAAGGACTCTGTCACCTAGGGAGAATGAGACTTTTAAGGGAGATGAGTCACCGTTAAACACAGATAGTCTACACCCTTGCACCCTAGCACTCCTGGACCTGTCTCAAGAAACCTAGATATACACACACTGCTCATACAGTCAGAGCCATCATTCCTACTGCAACAAGCACTGCTTTAATACTCTTTCTGCATTTCTCCCTACCCAGCTTCATCCTTTTAAAGCACTTAGGAATTAATTAAATCTCCAACAGCTGGCTAGGCTGATAAGACTTACAATCATCCCCTTATCTCTAGAAACCTTAGCTGGAAACAATACTGGATTTGCTGCTGTGTCAGTTACATTCTAATGCATCAGCCAAACCCTCAGCAGTCTGCATCTAGCTCAGACTTCCCCACAGTAGAGCTTTCCTCTGTTGTTTGCCCAGATCTGATCTGTCCTGTTTTGTTTTTTTATATTTAGCTCAATTCATCTCACATTAGCACTGATGTTACATTTGCTAGTTTGGGTTTATAGTGTTAACAGCTATTTTACCTCTGCCTGGAAAAAACTAGTGTGCCGGTAAAGGTCTAGAGGAACCAAGCTAGCTTTATCTTCTGTTTTCATGTGTTCCCATTTTAAAACCATTTTATTTTCGAGGCCACAGAACCGATTCGGGCACTTGACTTAACTGAATGCTCAGCTGTGCAATTTGACTATTCCCAGGAAAGAGTCAATTGTTTCTGGTAAGTTGCTGTGCTTTCTCCACCTTGCTGGGAAGGTCACAATAGCCAGGGAAGTTTGAAATGCAATGGCTGGGTGCTTCTGAAGGCTGCTTTGCTGGTTGTGACCCTGATCTTCCTCTAATTCATGAGCCTGCCTCTGTCAGTCCTGCATGGCTTTGCCAAATTACAGCTGGCAAAAGGGTTTTTTCTTGGAGAGGAGGGAGGGAGTAGGCCTGTGTGTAGTAGACATTTATTTTCCTAATTCTGTAAGAGCATGTAGTTGTCACCTAGACCCATGGAACTTCTGGCGCTCAGTTCAGATACTGCTACAGGTGACACAGTAACTGCCTCTGTGCCCAAATACGGGTCTTTTGTCCGTATGGGCCTGGGGCAGCATCCCCCTGAGCTGTAAATGACTAAACCTTGGCTGTAAGCCTGGTGACTGAATGGGAGCACAGCCTCCCTGCCCTGCTGGAGCAGGCCAGCTGGGTTCAGTTCTAGGAAGAACTACCAGTTGTTCTTGCAATTTAAGGAATAGTTTTAATTGTTTACTTGCAGCTTAGTGTTCCCACTAAGGACATACTACCTGTGCGCGAAAACTGGAATAGAAGCTGATGAGTGGATTAAAATATTGCGATGGAAACTGGTAAGTGGTAAGATGACGTGCAGTGTTACATGACAGTATGCCTCAGGCAGCAGTACCCTTGGTACTGCCATCATAAACCCCCCAATGCTGTAGGACCCATGTGCTACAGTTCCCAGTATCTGCAAGAAGGGAGTACTTGTTCTGGCTTCCAGGCCAACTAGACTGGAATATGTAGTTTTCAGATAACGTTATATGCCTGCAAACCCACTTTAGCATTTTCAGGATGCTACACAGATACATGTTAAGAAGAAGAAATGACTTCCATCTTTAAGGATGTCATTTGTGTAGATGCTAAACAATATGGAGCATCAGCACAGACCACGTGTTGAGTCACAAAGGAAGCAATAAGAAGATGATGTAAAGTCTTGACAGTGTTATTTCCTTAAAAACATTGGTATTTGGGTTGGTCATACTCGCTCACATCCCCATGTATGCAGACAAACAGTAATGGATGTTTTTTCTGTTCTAGTCACAAATACGGAAGCAACTGGAGCAGCGAAACGCCACCCTCAGTTCCTAGCCGTGCCCCCAGTCCTTCTGCTCCCTTGGCAGGAATTGCCTCTTTGCCAAAAGGAAGGCATTGCTTATGAGAAGATGGTTTCACGTCTCCATCACTCACAGAGGGCACATGCACATGTGTACACTTGCTTATGGATGCTTGCTTCCAGCTCTGCACACGAAGGACTTGTACCACTGAATGCTCTCGAGCTGTTGAGTCACGTGTGGAGATGGTTGCAAAATCAGCATTGGTCTGTCGTGCACACAGTTCAAACACCTGTTAACTAATCACAGTAGTCACTGTGTAAAACTTTTGTGGTTATTCAGAGCACTCGATAATTTATTGCGAGCTCCATCAAAACTAACCATTAGCAGCATATTCTGTAACCTTGAACCTGTTATTTAAAACCACGCCTTTCTGAAAATATTAAATATTTCTTTTGTTTAGGCTCTAAATCAAAAGAAAAATTACAGAGGTAATTACCTTTTTGTAAATAGGATCTATATTACAATCCAGAGAATATTTCAAGGCCCTTTTCAAGGTGATGGATGAGTAACACTTAGTTCTGGTCAAATGTGGTTTTGTGCGGTTCAGGTTTATACCACAGTGATGGCTACACATGAACAGTTATTTCAAATGGCATATGTAGGCAACAGCGAGCAGCATCATGCAAGCACACCTGTTCACAAACTAGGATGATGAGAAACAGGCAGCTGGTTCCCAGTGCACGTATGACGGAGCAGCCACAGGACCCTAAGGAGCAAGGAGCCCTGGGCAACAGGGTGCCTTTGCCTATGGCAGCCACCAGCATGGTTAGTAACATTCCATGGTGGGCCCCTCACAAGTCCCCCTTGAAAATGGGCTGGATTTTGTACTACTTCTTCACATGGAGAACTCAGAACAAGGTTTTGCCCAGAACTGTGTTCTAGAATTAAGCCCTGCTTGCTTTGTATTAAACAAGGTCAGTAAAAGAAAAGCACCATGTACATTAAAAATAGGGATTTCAAATAATACATCTTCTACATAACCTGATGTAAATTTCCATCTATATTTTGGAAGACTCATACAGGTGTAACAGCATTGCGGCTTGCTATAGAGTTGGGAAGCAGAAGCACAGTATTTGGTGCTGTAGTCAAAAAAGATGTTACATTGTGGAAGCAAGGTTTGACACACTGGAGGGTCCCAAGACCAGCTTGGCCTGACCTCATGGCTGACCCAGCTGCAAGACCCTCTGTGCAATCCTAATTCTTCTGGAGAGGTAGGGGAAGAGCCGGGGCGGGGG